ACAGGCATGCTTAACACCGACGTATAGATACTCGTCACCATGCATATACGTCGTACTCCACAATTAACATGTAGTAAATAAGACATGACTCTTAATCCCTCGAGCTAAGGTTAGACCAAACACTTACCTCGATGCCACGAACACAATTCAAGTCTCAATTATCGCTTTACCTCTTGATTCCACCACGAATTCGCTCGTATCTAGCCACAAGTTACTTAATTACGTCAATAAATGCTAAATGAATCAATTCTAATGCATAAAAATAAGTTTTCCAAAGTTTTATCCAAAAAGTCAAAAATCGCCCCCGGACCCACATGGTCAAAACCCGAAGAACTAAAACCCGATTACCCATTCCTCCACAAACCCAAATATATAATTTTTTTTAAATCGGACCTCAAATCAAGGTCCAAATCCCCAATTTTTTGAAAACCCTAGGTTCTACCCAAAACACCCAATTTCCCTTATGAAAATCATTGATTTTGAGTTGAAATCATATGAAAAGATGTTAAAGATTGAAGAAAACTAGTTAGAAATCACTTACAATCGATTAGAAAGAGAAGTTGCCCTTGAAAAATCACCCTAGAGAGTTTATGTTTTGAGAAGATGTGAAAAATGGTTGAAAATGCATCTAAGTGTGAATTTACAGGTCTCTGATATCGCAATTGCGACTTGCGAACCCTTCAGAAACTGGGACTTTCGCATTTGCGAAACAAATGTCGCATTTGCGACCCAATCATCTTTCCGGTCATCTTCGCATTTGCGAGAGACCATTCGCAAATGCAAAATCGCATTTTCAAGAAGACAGTCGCATTTGCGACTAAGGCTGCCCTGGTCCATTCTTCGCATTTGCGAGGATTTGTCGCATTTGCGAGCTTGCATTTGCGAGTCAGGCTTCGCATTTGCGAAGCCTGCAGACCTGACCATACCAGCTGAAAACCTGCAATGTTCCCAAGTCCAATTCTATTCCGTGGCCTATCCGAAACTCACCCGAGCCCTCGGGGCTCCAAACCAAACATGCATACCAACCTAAAAACATCATACGGATTTGCTCGTACATTCAAATCATGAAAATAACATCAACAATTATGAATTTAGCATCAAAATCATGAAATTACTTAAGAACTTCAAATTTTTCAAATTTCTCAAATAAGGTCCGATTCACGTCATTTCAAGTCCGTTTCTTACCAATTTTCACAGGCTCGATTCAAATCATATATAAGACCTGTACTGTGCTTCGGAACCAAAATACGGGCCCGATACCAATGGTTTCAAAAATATTTCACTTTCAAAAACTCATAAATATTCCAGAAAAAAAAATTCTTTAAAAATTCATTTCTCGAGCTTAAGACCTCGGAATTCGATTCCGGGCATACGCCCAAGTCCCATATATTTCTACGGACCCTCCGGGACCGTCAAATCACGGGTCTGGGTGCGTTTACCTAAAATATTGACCGAAGTCAACTTAAATTCATTTTAAAGTCAAAATTTATTATTTTTCACAGATTTTCACATATTGACTTTCCAGCTACGTGCCCGGACTGCGCACACAAATTGAGGTGATACAGAAAGTGGTTTTTAAGGCCTCAGAATGCAGAATTTATTTTTAAAATAAGTGATGAATGCAGATGTTAGATGCAGATGACAAGTGAACCGGGTTCGTAGCAGATCAAGAGAGAATGATGATCAAACGTGGAATATCAGAATATTCACATAAGTTGAATTCCTCAGAAAGTCCTGCCCATACACTAAAAGAAATATGTAAATCGAAGGGGTTTATGGTCAAAAAGGATTTTGTAACTAAGAGAATACTTGCGTGGAAAGAGAAGGTTAAAGAGTTGGAAACAAATAAGGAAACTGAATCAAAATGGGAGAGGTTCTTCTTAAACAAAATATTCTAGATTTGGAGCATTAATTAAAGAAGATTTTCGGCCAACTTTGCAACTAAAAAAGGAGACTTTTTGCCGCATCAAGACTACTACTATTAAGAGAAATCACATAGAATTATTTCTGACACTAGCAATCACAGCAAAAAGATACTTATGGAGCTCAAGCTGATCAACTAAAGAACCAGTTCCCAAAAGACAAAATTGTTAAAGTTCTTTAGTTGTTAGATTAAGTCAAGTATTCAAAATTATAACCAATTTGCTTTGAGAAGTGTAATAGTAGGTTAGTGCAAAAACTTTGATTTTGTAAGCTTCTTGAATTGATTATAGGACTTAGGGTACTTGAGTTAGCCCCACTGGTTATAGAGTTGTAACCTAAAACTGCTCTTTGAATTTTAGTAGAGTTTTCAGAAAACTCCTACTAGGTAGATCGTAGTTTTTACTCACTTGAGTTAGAGATATTCCACGTAAAATTCTCTATGTTGGTTAAATTTTCGCAATCATTTCAGTTTTTATCTGTTTTCATAGTTTAAAGAATCAGGTTCTTTAAAATCACAAAATTCGGGTAAGACATAATTCACTCCCCTCCCCTTCTTATGTCGAGTGTATCCTAAAATAGCAGATTTATTATTTGGATTTGATTCCAATAGCTTTATTTGACGATATTGAGTTATTTTTTACTAGATTTGAGTCATTTTGAGTTGGATTTAAAGAAAAGGTGATTGTTGATTGATTAAAGATTATTGGGTAGGGGTAAGCCTCTCGTCTATCCTTGAACGAGAAAATTTTCTCCATAGACGATCTATTTGCTACTTATTGCTTGATTTAGGAGCTACATATATGCGAGGTGACAAGCGTATATGTGTAGGTAGACTTTAACTACCTCCAGTGGTATTTGACGTGCATTATGCTTGGTCTGGATTATGTGAAAGTATTATCATGTTTCAATTGATTATAAGACTACATGATGATTCATAATTATGATTTAGAAGCATGCTTAAAGTTATGACTTGTTGAATTGGGCATAAGAATTAGTTAGTTTTCCATGTTGAAATTTATTATTAATCCGTAGGCACTTGCCTTATTTGCTTCATGATTTGGTGGCTATATGGCTTAGTTTACTTATGTTAAATAATATGATTATATTTATGCATGTTGAAATAACTTATTGAGTCGTTGTAATAAGCTGAATTATATGATTATCCATAGCCATCTTTTAGTCATATGAGCTTTTATTCGTATTTTTTCATTGTTATGTCTGGTGCTTCTTTATTATACTTATTTCATAATATATGCATGAGCGAAGAGTTGGTTATTGCGGAAAATTGAGGATTTTGGCACTACGGATATTGGTTATTGAATAATAATCATTGATTGTAAATTAATCAACGCGTGGATATGGATTTATCCCTCCGGAGTCAGGCAATTACTCATGTTACTTTGGACCCAGTAAGCATAGGCGTCCGAATTTTTTGTGCTTGGTTTGGACATGTGGCTTGTGTCAGGCACAACAATTTGGTGCTATGAAATATAGAGACACGATCTTGAGCATGCATATAAATAACTTTGACTCATGCAGTAGTCTTGTATAAATGTTTTTGACATGTATCATGTCTTTATGTGAGGATTGAGGCGTTAATATCTTATTTGATCTCCTTTATCTGTAAAGCATAGCTAAATTCCGTATGAACTGTGTTTTGAGCTTTAATACTCATCTCATGATGCCATGCCTTATTTTGTATCGTATTTATGTTCTCACCTTATTATTGTATTTTTAATAAGTATCGATGTCGATCCCTCGCTACTACTTCTTCGATCCTAGACTTGATACTTATTGAGTACTGTGATTTTGTACTCATACCACACTTTCACACATTTTTGTGCAGGTTTTGAGATGTTTTACTTGATCCGATCCATAGCACATGTTGTCCCCTCCTTACTTGTCTATTTATGTCTATCTTTTCCCCTTTTCAGATAGATTTTGTTGTTTAGGTTATACTATTTACTCTTATTAGATGCTCGTGATAATGTGACATTGTGTTTAGAGCGTTGTTAGACAATTGTGGTCGTGTTTAGACCCTATCTTAGGTATTTGTATTATGATATTGGTTGTTGAAACTTATTCTGTTTATATACATATCATAACTCCGTTAAAGACTCAATAATCTACTTTTATTATTTTTGATTGAATATAGCTTGCCTAGCGAGCGAGTGAGCTAGGCGCAATGACGACCTTTAATGTGAATTTGGGTCGTGACAGTATTATGGAATTTCACAAGTTCAACTTTTATAACTCAAAATTCCAGAATAGTAATCCTAGAGTTCGAAGCTTAAGAACAAACTATTCTTCTATTTGCTCTTCCTCTTTTTGCTTATTGTGCGCTTGTTCTAGCTACTACTTCCATGAAGCAACAAATATAATACTAATCTAATACTAAAGCTTTTGTCGGTGAAAATGTAAACAGAGAAAGAAACCATAGCAACTATTGAGGACAGCAGGAAAAAGAAAAAGAGAAAGGGATTTAGAAAGCTAACTATGATTTGGAACTGATACCAATTATGCAAGAAACTGAAAAACTAACACCTGGGTTGAAACACATGATTCCCCTTCAATAGCTAAAATGAGAACCATAAAATTTTCAAAACATACCAAAAAATCCAATCAGCTCACATCGTCATTACTGAAGTAGCTAAGTAACGCCTAATTACCAAGGATGAAAATCCAACGGCAAAGAGGAACCGCGTAATTTAAAAGAGAATAGCTTGAGAAAAATTTGAACTTCTTCACAGTAAGAATTGATCTGCATTTTCACATCCGCGGGGTTTTGAACTCCAGCATATCATGTAGAGTCTCACTAGTAAGAATTTCCCACTCCAACACAACGTGTTTAAGGGTATCTTTGTCCAAGTTTTATTTTAGCATTAAAATGTGCCAATTTTTCAACTACTTGCAAATGTTGGCTATTTTTTAAATTACAGGTTCAAAGAGTGTTCAACCCCCGCTATTATTACAAAAAGTTTTTCAACCTCCCGCGCCCATTGCCATTGCCATCCCTACATACTCCTCCAATGTGTTGGAGTTAGCCATGTAAAAAGCAGCGTAACTATGGACATTACTTAGATTCAATACTATGTAGCATCAAAGTCGTTCATAGCAAAATTCACAACATTGCAAGCTATTTTCCAGTTGCTTCACACATACTAGGCAGAAATATTAAATGTAGACATCTGCCACTGTATTGCTCTTGCTTCTTAGGGATTTAATTTCAACATTGTATACCAACACTCAGATACACAGAATTGTTACAACATGGATACGGGATTCATATGACAGAAAGTTTTCGTGCAAGAGGAAAATTTACAGGTGGTCTGTAGATGCTGAAAGTTGTAAAAGGATGGTAAACCTTGGAAGATGAATATGCTCTTCTTTGTTTTCCTTCTCTTTATTGTCGAACAATCCTTGATCTTTCCTGCCCTTTTCTGTCTATCAGGACCCTGCTTCATTCCAACGTACTGTGTATCTCACAAACCAGCTCACTGGCCTCAAGAGAATGAAATGAAGGCTTTTTTTGCTGCAAAGACTAAGAAGAAAAATATGGTAACAGAAGAGTGGATGCTCATTCTTAATGACTAACATTCTAGAACTTTCTTAATTTGTTCCCAATTTCTGTCATTTTCAACATCTCAACAGGCAGCCACCATTAAGTGTATGTGTATGTGTATATGCATGTGTAAGAGACAGCAGGAATGGGAGGGAAGAGATTTTCTTTTCAAAGAGGAAAGTGGAGAGAGTAGGATCTACGTGGCTAGCGGAATAAGGGCAATATACCCCACTGGTGCAGGAAGCCTTCTCCAGTTGTTACTTCTAGCACCAGCAGCACAAGAACTGCCAACATAGCTGCTCTTCCGTTCCACGTTTCTGCACTTTTTGTCCAACCCCATTCCCAGACTGTTACAGGAGGTGGTAGCTCCCTGCGCTGTGAATCATATGCTGCCAATAGCTCTTCCACGCTGCCAAGAGGAACCAATGACTGCAAATAAACACCAACAGCTTAAATTAGATTCAGTTTAGCCACTGATCTTTGAAAGCACTGAACTTTTAGTTCAAACTCTTATCCACATAAAAATGAAACAAGGGAGGAAAGTTTTCCCTTTATTTCAATCACATATTGCAGTTACAGCATAAAAGCCAGGTGCCCATGGATTTGCTGCAGTTATGCAATGAAAGGCTTGGAAACATGCAAATTGACTAGGAAGGTGGTGGAAGTGTTACAGAACCTTGAACACAGCTGAACACTCACCTCTGTCCCAACAAGTCAATGGAATGTGTTAGTTGATCAATGTCCTACGGCTGAGTAAGATGTTCAAATCCTTCACTTGGTACATAGAAGTGTAAAAGATCTGGTTGCTGATCTCATAATGAAACCAATGTGCTTGACAAGTAGAGCCTCACTTTGTACCGATCAACTAAGAAGAAATGAAGTCTAGCCATTTGGGAAGTAATACCAATAAATCGCAAGTAAATAAATATTAGCTCAAAATGAGACTAGCAGTCGACCATATAATTCACATTACTTAATATAATTCACAGTCGACCATATTTTAGACTAGCAGAATAATAGAAGTTGTTTTAACTCAAAATGAGAATGAATTGAACTTTGACAAGACTGAAGAAACAGAATTGTCAAATCAGGGACGATCTATGAAATAAAGGACTCAGAAGTGTAGATGCTGCCTGACAAAGCTGGAAAATCAATGATACCTTGGGCAAGAAGAAAAAGTTCTGCCATAACTCAAAATGAGAATGAATTATACTTTGCTCAGACTGAAGATATGGTCTAAATCAGTCTCCTCGAGCCTGGTTTGGTAAGTTCAGCACAGTTATTCAGAAGTTTGGCATGACTCGAAGTGAAGCTGATCACTCCGTGTTTTATCGGCATTCTACTTCAAGTCTCGGTATTTATCTGGCAGTCTATGTTGACAATATTGTTATTACCGGCAATGTCAGGATGGTATTATTAAATTGAAGCAACATCTCTTTCAACACTTTCAGAATAAGGATCTGGGCAAATTAAAGTATTTTTTGGGTATTGAGGTCACTCAGTCTAGCTCAAGTATTGTGATCTCACAACGGAAGTAAGCCTTAGACATTCTTGAGGAGACAAGAATGACAGATTGTAGACCTGTTGACACTCCGATGGATCCGAATTCTAAACTTCTGCCAAGACAGGGTGAGCCGCTTACTGGTTGATAAATTAAATTATCTTACATTGACTAGACCTGGCATTTCCTTTCATGTGAGTGTTGTAAGTCAGTTTTTGGATTCTCCCTGTGATAGTCATTGGAATGTAGTCGTCCGCATTCTTCGGTATATAAAATCGGCTCCAGGAAAAGGGTTATTGTTTGAGGATCGAGGCCATGAGCAGATTGTTGGATACTCAGATCCTGATTGGGCAGGATCACCTTCTGATGTTCTACGGATATTGTGTTTTAGTAGGAGGCAATTTGGTGTCTTGGAAAAGCAAGAAACAGAATGTAATTGCTCGGTCTAGCGCAGAAGCAGAATATCGAGCAATGGCTACGACAATATGTGAGCTAGTTTAGATCAAACAATTGCTCAAGGAGTTGAAATTTGGTGAAATAAGCCAGATGGAACTTGTGTGCGATAATCAAGATGCCCTTCATATTGCATCAAATCCAGTGTTCCATGAGAGAACTAAACACATTGAGATTGACTGTCACTTCGTCAGAGAAAAGATACTCTCAGGAGATATTGCTACAAAGTTTATGAAGTTGAATGATTAGATTGCAGATATTTTCACCAAGCCTTTCACTAGTCCTCGTATTAGTTATATATGTAATAAGCTCGGTATATATGATTTGTATGCACCGGCTTGAGGGGAGAGTGTTAGTTACTCCCTCGGTTTCAATTTAGATGAGGTAGTTTGACTTGGCACAGAGTTTAAGAAAAGAAAAGAAGACTTTTGAAACTTCTGGTCTTAAAAGCTTAAGGGGTAAAAACTTTGTGGGTCCGTGACATTTCTGTGGTTATAAAAGCTTCTCATTAAGTTGAATTATTTTCAAGTGTAAAAATGTGTCATTCTTTTAGGAACAGACTAATAAGAAAAGTGTATCATCTAAATTGAAACAGAGGGAGTAATTATTATGTAAATAAGCATAGTCCTACATGGAATAGGAGTAGTGTAGGTATTGTGTATTGTTATAAATAGGGGAACATGGAATAGTAGTGTAGGTATTGTGTATTGTTATAAATACGGGTACTTGAATTATAGTTAGAGTACATCAATAATAGAATATTTTCCGTATATTATTTCTCACGAACACTAGGTGATCTCTTCCGATCTGCCTAAGCATTAGTGGACAAAGTTACCTGGTAACTAAGTTGGTGGGAAGTAGCAAGTACCCGGTGAAATAGTCAAGGTGCATGCAGGCTGATTCGGACACCATATCAAAAAATAGAAAAGCAATGCTGTCAAAAAGGTACATCGNAAAAAAAACTACACTGAAGTACAAATTCTCAGAAAATATTTAATGAATAAAACATATGTAGCTTATCCAAAAGAGGACAATAACTGGTAAGAGCAGCAGAAAATAAGAAATCATTTTTCCCTTCATGTCTTTTAGCTCAAGTAGAAAGAAACGGCAAAGTGGGAAATGTATGGCAGAGTAAAAAATTGTGGATTTGCTGCGAGACTGGGATGGACCTTTTCACATTCCATCAGACTAAGTTACACTGCTTAGTGTCTATGTCGTTGATAGATGATCAGATGTTTGGAAGAGCCCTTCCTTCACTTTAGATAAAGAATTGGACCAATAAACAATAGGGCGCAAGTAGCTTCAAATCAACAAGGGTGAAATCAGGGGCTAATCTACCTTTCCCCTTTTATTATTAAAAGTTATATAATAATATAATTTTGATAAAGGGCGGCTTCTCCTATGTCGTGTCAAATTCACATCGGGCTTCCATATTTCAGCCCACTGGCTCCATCTACAATAACAGAAATTGATAGCATCCAAGGAAGCCAATCAACACTCGAAACCAAAGACCAGTCCTTGGAACTCCTAGAAGACTAATGACAAGGTCACAAACAAGAAAACATCAAGAGAAGCTCCAAGGCTTTGAAGTGAAGATCAAGAAATGCCTAGTAATGGGGAAAGAGTTGAAGGATTTAGAGGGATTTCACAAGCATTCAACAAATTTAATGTCCAACTTGTGGAGTTAGAAGAGAGGAAGACAAGAAACAACACTTAACAGCTCGGAGAAGCCCCCTTTACAAGTTGCACGGCTAGCCTAGTTGATGCTGGATCATCAGCATGACAAACATACCTAGTTGATGCTGGACCATCAGCAAGACAAACATTATCTTATTTGGATGTTTTTATACTTGGTTTTATTTATTACACTTAATTAATAAGTGGCACATGCAGTTTATTTTAAATTTTGTTGGCTGATTTCACTAGTTTAGGCATGTGGGCCAAATTCAGAAGGGCCTAGGCTTGTCCTATGTTATAAGTAGCCTCTAAAACGTGAAGAGCAGATTATGAAGTTTTTGAATGACTAAAGGTGTTCCCTTTGATGAGACTTAAGAAACCCTAATGGTTCCTGAAAAACTCTATAGATTATCCATTCAAGTGAGTGATTATCCCTGAGGTAATCTGGTTTCCTTCTTGTTTCTTGATATCTTAGGTTCTTAATTGGTAATTTATTGGAGTCGTCGTGTTTTTATACACTTCATTGCCATTAATTTCTCAATTTAAGGTCAAGATCCCTTTTCTTGATGTTTCTTGCTAGATCTTGAAATATCTCGGAATTTGATTTCGTGTTTCTTGTGTACTTTATTCATTGTTCTCTGGGTCTTGTGTTTCTTCCTTTGGTTCTTTATCTTGATTTCTTCTTGTTCTTTATTTCATTCACTGTTCCTGTTCTTGTTCAAGTATTGGATTCCATCTTGGTTTAGGAATTGAGTTTTATAAAATTAAAAAAATAAAAAAATAAAAAAATAATCCGTGCGGTACCAGAAACCTTAATAATTTCTTAATCACAGCTTTGGAGTTAAAAAGCACCTGACGAGCTTCAAGATTTGAGACTGCCATTGCTCCAACATATGGAAGACTTTCAATCACTGCATCTGCCAAATCTGAGATGAAAGTGGGTTCAACACCTAGGGCAGGAACACGTGCCCAATTCTGTATTCCAGACTCCAACGCTAGCTCCTTGTATTCAACATCAATTTCCTCTAATGTCTCAATATGCTCACTTACAAAACTGTGATAGCATTTAAAATTAGAAAACACAAGCAATTAACATGAAAATCAAGAGACTAAGCATCATCAATTATACTGCCTAAAAAGCCAACTTTGCTTACCTTATTGGCACGGCAAGAATACTCTTAACCCCTTTCTTCCCAAGCTCAATTATTGTCTCATCAGTATATGGTTTCAGCCATTCAACAGGTCCAACCCTACTCTGCATCAGAGCAAAATAACTTCATGGAATGGCCAACTAAACGGTATATACAAAACTCAATCATGGCAGTCTAAGTGGGGGGAAAAAAGGTGCATCTCGATATACAGAATCACAGTAAAGCATATCAGTCAGGAAGCCATGTATTTGAAATGCCACCAGTGAAGATTTTCTTTGTGTTCCTCCAAGAAGATAACTTATCAGTGGCAGATAGGATGAACATTACTTGACCACGGACTCCATCGCCAAGCAAGTAGGAGAAACAATGTTATAAAAGCTATATGTTATGTGCTAGCAAATGAGCATATGAGCCTCACCTATCTGTCTAATCTAATAGTGTATCACTTGACAATAGCATCATAAACAAGCACCATCTTACCCTTTAAAAGGTATTAATCAAGTAATAAGAGAAGCACCAAATAATCTTTTTTTTCCAATGGGGACAGATAACACCACATATATTAGAGCCCCTCCAAGTTCACAAAACTGACATCAATGAAAGGCTACAGTACCTTTCATACATAGAGGTGTTATGCTTATAACATGAAAGTGTTCAGTACTCGTGTCTCACGCTCCATATTAGCTAACAATATTTGTAATGCAATTATTCTGATTATTAAACTTGCTTTTTACCTTGTCAGCAACTAGTAAGTTCATGTGGTACATTGTAATACTTCACTAGATAGCAATTAGTCCCCTCACCTATTGTTGAAAAGCGTGGACAAAAGAAAAAAAGCTCTTTCACCTTCCTAACAATAGTTATGCACGTACCACCTTTTCAAAGTAAGCTGGAGTGCTTTAATATGTTAGCCTCGAGTTTACCATATAATTTAGCTGTCTTATGAACTTTCAATATTGAAGAGTGCAATGAAGAAATATTTGCAAACCGTGCTTGTAATGCAGTGATACATTATCACTTCCGTTTTTTGAAAAGCAAATAGGGTTGGGGAACTGGTACATGGGAATCTTGCTCATAGAAAACACCACATTCAAGTAGTGGGGGAGAGGGATGGAATAGCTGTCTTTAATTGTGCACCAACTGAACTCAGAGCTTTCTTATACATGATTGAATAATGAGCCCAAAAACAAAATGTGCAATCAACTAGAGTCTTCATTTCAAGAATGATTTAATGCATAAACATAGACAATGTTGCCTATGCAAGTAAGTTTTAATATTATTAATCATAAAATTTAAGTATGCTAATAGATCTGCAAACGTACCTGATAGGCCAAAGTATATGCGTTATGTACCCTTCTCTTCTCAAGTTCTTCCATTATTAAGTCCACACATTCCTCCATTTCAGCCTTGTATGGATCACCTGCTTCCTCTACATATGCAAGTGGTACCCCATGAGCACTGAAGAATATCATCACCTGTGTATATGAAGCTAGTTAATAAGGAAGGAAAGAAGTAAGCATAGAGGGATATCATACTACTTTAGAAGCCCCTGCTTTTATTTTATTATAAGATATCAGACATTATTTCATAAATAAGACATGTCGGGAAGCAGGAACAGAATGCCGCCAAATCTAGAGAAATATTTGGTCTAGAGTGCCACCATTTTTCTTTTTGTTTTTTATCCTTAATCTCTTCAACCGCACAGAGATTTTTCCATGACACTTTTTTTCTGCCATAACCAACTCTATATAGCTTCAAGAGAAGATCTCCAAGCAAAAGACTTCAGGGACAATGATACACTAAATCAAGAGTATCACAGTATCATGGCAAAAATCTGTAAACATTTATTACAGAAGAAAGCAAAACTGGTAAGGCAGCCAGATGTAGTTATAAACAAAACACTTTGCAAGAATTTTTCGATTTTTAAGTTATCAAAGCAAAAATACAAATACACAAATACTTTGCTGCCTCGCGTATAAGGAAAGATGGGGACTGTTTAAGGAAAATGAACACTCTTTTCGCGAGGTAACTATAGCATGAGCCAGTGAAAAATAGAGATGATACTACCTCCCCAGGACGTTCAAAACTTTTCAGCTCTTTTTCCATCAAATCTGCCATCGCTTTGATATATCCTTCCCGTTGATACCATGAGGGTATTACTGTGTGTTGCATGTTAACAAGATACTCATCCTCCCTAAAGAAAATACTCATTGCTACATATATTATTATGACAATTGCAAATGGAATGTATTCCCCGAGCGAGAATATAGGTATGTTTATTACCGAAATATACTCTCTAAAAGGCGAAGGCTTGAACCACTCGTAGATATTGAAAACTGTGGATAAAGAGGGAGCACAACAAGCTTTGTGATTCCATCCCTTTTAATCTGCAAAAAGAACAGAAAAGGGAAAAGGATAAAAAACCAATAGCTCAACTTCAATTCTATCCTAGGTATCTCTATTGTGCTTCAAGGAAAAACTGGAAATAAAGAAAAATTATAACATAGCTTCATCATTTTAAAAAGGGGTACCCATACATCTTGAAGAAATCAGGAAAAAATTTCGAATTTGGATAAAGGATCGATATAGGACTTCGTAAGACAAAGATATCATTAATCCACAATTATGGCTGTCCAACGGGACGGGCCATCCCGTCCCGTCCCGCGTCCAGTCCTGTCCTGTTCCGCTTCAAGTTAAATGGGATGGGCCAATGTTAAATGGGACACGGGACGGCCATTTCGTCCCGTTTGTCCCGTCCCGTTTCGTCCCGTCCTGTCCCGCATCCCGCGTCCCATCCCGT